ATTAATGTTTGTGATATGACTGAAAATAGGTCAAAATAGCACAAGGCATAAACAGACACACACAGATAAAGCTGATATAGAACCTCGCATAGATGTACATTGATTCAACCTTCTACATTTCGTAGCACCATACAAAGTACAACCAAGTATAAAAAGAATAATATTGTAGATAAAGTTGTGTGAGAGAACAAACAATTTGAAGATAAACGTTAATGGAAATAATCGCGCTTTAGAGGACATGAGAATATGCCACCCTGATTAATTTTCAGTCATTTTACTAAGAGTTCTGACAACCACTGATTCCTATCCTCTCAGGGAGTCTACACCTCCATACACGGCTCAACAACAACAATGAGACTTCATCAACTGGCGTCACATCTTGGTTCGTCCACCTTGAATCTTCTTCCAACCTAGTCCAGCGTCCTCTAGCATTGCACATCGAGGCAAGTAATCGTTCAGGATGCGTAGCATATTTTCAAGCCATCACAGTCAGTGTAGATTCATAACCTCATCGACAGACTTGTCTAGTACTCATGGTCTAACCTGGACATTGTTAGAATGGTGGTTCCTTCATATGCAGGCTATACAACAAAGACACTTATGCTCAATGTTACGGGGGGATAAAAATGGAAATCACCAGGCAAGGTCATTTACCGTTAAGGTAGAAACATCTTTGTTTTACATCTTGACTGGTGAAATTAGTTTTACCGAACAATTTTGTCCTTGCAGCTGATTGGTGATCTATTGGCCTCATTTTCTGGGCAGAATTTGTATATAAATACAATGTTTTCTATTTTTTAAGATGAATGGGGATTTTTAATTTAGAAGTGGTATTCATCATGCACTGACATCATTTGGGGAATCATTAGAAACCTGGGAGTACTGGACAACTCTTTCGTCCTTGTATGGGACTCCTCAGCAGTACGCACCCACTACCCAGCTACGGATCGAACTCAGGACCTTCGGGTTTCACGGAGAACGCGCTAGCCACTCAGCCACCTGGTCGGTTTCCGGTGGTTCACAATTCCCAACATAGCGCGACTATCACCCAAGGTCTTCAGTTAGGATTCGTTTCACTTCCGACTGGTTGACCCAATAGGTTACGGCTTCTCATTAGAGCTTCGTGATATCCATCTGGAAGCAAATCACTAATGAGCACTATACAGTAATTTATTTTTGAGATGAATGGGGATTTTTAATTTAGAAGTAGTATTCATCATGGACTGACATTAGTTGGGAACCACTGAAAATCTGGGAGCACTGGACATCTGTTTTGTCTACTGAAAACCTACCCAGCGGCTGAATGGTTCGATCCCTAGCCGGGTCATGGGTGCGTACTGCTAAGAAGTCGCATACTAAGACGAAACAGTTATTCAGTGCTTCAAGGTTTCCCCAACTAATGTCAGTCCGTGATGAATACTACTTATAAACAATGTTTTTTGTTAAATAAAACCGACTTCCTTAAGTCAGTCACAGCCGCTTCTTTTATCTTCTGATTTTCTTGGCTCAGTGAAGTATCGGGTACGGAGGAGAACAGTCGTATTACTCGTATTCAGTCCAAGTATTTCATTGCGTTATTATCTCGTTCACGTATTAGTAGAACACATGTTATCCCCCAACTCAACCACATTATTTGGCGATAGATGTTCAATTTATTTTGCAATGTCTATTTCCCTTAAAGACCCTCAAATCCATTTTGTAACTTCAACAAACTCAGAATGAAGCGGTTCAACTGAAGTTTATTGAAACTCTTACTCAGAAGTTATTAATTCAGTTGCCATCAACATCTCATGCAGATAAATATGAATGGATTTCTAATTCTATCAGTAAGTTCAATTATGTTCCAGTGTTTGGTCTCATAGTGAATAGATATGAAGTTGTTTTTCACACTGAATGTTCTATTTTCGATGATGCAGCTAAAGTTTGTTTATTATTATGAAAGCTTGGAATTGTCGAGCACAATATTATTATTACTTAATGAAACTATCAGTATCCTATCTCAAATTTCTGATGATCAGTCCTCTGTATTTAACATTCGATATCAATGCTTTCAGTTATCCAAGTTACCCTCTGATGATTGTGTCATATGCTGGCAAGAAGAATTGATTCAAAGTCAACGAAATGAATTCCGACCAATTGAATGTTTGATTTTTATTGGTGGTCTGAAGAACGCTGAAGATGCTGATTTCAGAATCAGACTATTATCATATATCGAACAAGATCCAAAAATGACACTGAAGATGGTGACAGCAGAATGCCAAAACTTAATCAATTTGAAGCATGATGCAACTATGGTACAACAAAAATCTCAGTCGTCTAATTTGGGTTCAGTCAACTCAGTGAAAACTTCTCAGTCTAAAAATCAAGCACATATAACGTCAATCACAGACCTCAAGTAAATCTCCTTCAGTTTGCCAGCATTTTGTTCATTCTGAAAGCATGAACGCCGTCAGTGTTATCGATTTGATCATAAAGAGGGTTATTGTTCTCCTACAAGAACTCCATGAAAGTTAAATATTGCTCTTTAACACGCCATTCATCGCATGAAGTTAAAAGCATTTTCGTGACGTTTAAAGTTGATTTTGAGAGGAAGACAAAGTATGTTCATCTATCTATCAATGGTAAGCCTATTCGTCTGCAGCTGGATACAGTATCTGATATCACTTTAATTTCTCGAAACACACGGCTCACACTTGGGTACTTACAGATCCAACCAACTGAACATATCACTAGAAATGTTTCTGGAGATGTGTTAAAACTTATTGGTAAGATTAATTGCCATGTTCAGTCTGGTGACCGACATCTACGTCCCATTCAGGTTCATGCTGACTATATTTTTGGCAACTGAAGCGTTGGTGAGGGCCAATTGAACTCAGCTTCTAAAGGTTCTGCCTAACGTTCTAGTCGCCTGTTGAGGGAGGTTATCAGAGTCCTATTCTTTTCTCTGATAGTCTCATTCACCGGTATACTTAATAAACGTAGGTGGAGATTACAAATAGGCATCACCTAGTTTCACGACTCTTCCTAGTCCTTACAGATCCATTCAGTCGAACAGCGCATAGACGGCTGTTGATTGGTATGTAGTTGAGAAGTGTACTTTCTGCCTTGCAGCTCAATGCTATGTTTACACCAGCGAGTTCACGAGAGCTAGTCATTGGGTCTCCAGACACTCTTAGGGTGAATTTTGGAGATTCGCTACATTGGTCAGGTAAGGCCAATTTAATAACCACACTCTGGTCCTTCATACGTGTCTCGGAGACACAGCATAATACGTGGCTACAGATTTCAGGTGAGCGATGCTTGCTGTCCGATTCAGCATAGGCTTAGGACATTAAAAGCTGTTACATGAAACCAATGGCTGGATCTTAGGAGACTATGAATGCGGATTCGATGGTTTTGATCGTTCGCAGTGGTTGCAGAATGAGAGGTTTGTTAAGGTGTAAGAGGCTTAGTACTACTAGAAGCGTGCAGGCGATTGACACTTTCCGATTGGCCACACTGTGTAAGTCTATTTCTTTTGAAAGTACTTGAGAGAGCAGAAGATTTGTGTGACCGTACAGCCTATGAGACATCTGCTTGAGGCCTATCACATACAGCCTTTTGTAGGATCTTGTTTCGAAGTTTGGTTGTTCTAACGCTGGTTAGACAAAAATACCTATACTGCCGGCACTAGAAGACCATCAGGCAGAGAGAAGTGTGGTATTTTTAGGAGTCGACTTTTCCTAACCACACTTTCCATTGGGAAGGTAGGCAGCGTTAGGGTAACAATGCTGGTCATTCAAGAAAAGCATCTTGTTGCTATCACACGCTATCTAGCTAGCAGCAGTACGAATTTCCCCCTTTTCATCTTACCATTATTCAACAGAACTTTCTGGCATGATAGGATCTCGAGGAAACAAGCGTCCCAGTCACTGTATTGCGTTGTGATATGCAAGCCTGATCGCCATGTCAAGGTAGCAACTATCGGTCAGGAAAATGATAAACAGATTTATGTTTATTTTCTTCTGAATAGCTGTTTATGATGAGAACATTAATGAAGGGTAATAATCTCTTCACTAGAACGAATCCCACTTCATTTACGCCAATATCACCAAGCTTCCACATCAGATGTGGCTTGTATTCGACTAAGTAGAATGCAGATGATACTGCGATATCTAAGCAAACGGCATCCTGGGGAACTAGGATTATTATTCTGTGAAATATGCACTGGTCATACCGACAAGTATCAAAACTTAAAAATCACCAAGCATCAGTAATCATCTTTCTCTAATCATAGAGTAAACTAATCTGAACATTAATAATTCAGCTGTTTTGTGTATTTAATTCTAAGAAATGTGGACTGGAATTTGCAGTTTAAAGACAGGAGGCTAGCGGAAGGAAATAGGATATCTATCTCTAATTCACAATACAGTATAGCTTAGAATACTTAACGATGGAGTGACAAAGAAACAGAATGTGCAGTCGTGTATATAGTGTAACCATTTGAGTATTCAGTTGGTAATCAGCTTATTAGTGAAAACCCATTCAATATAATAGCCTTCTTTAGACGTACTTTGGTGGTAAACATCCATATGTCGGCTTCCTTTATTAGTTTAGACATCATCTCATAAAGTGATTATCTCTTATGAATTGGATAACAAGTCGATAACTCGTCCGTTTCATTCTTATTGATTGGCATAGATATAGATCCTCTCCATCTACCCAGCTGAAGCATAACTGTCTGGTGAATCATAGTCAGTCATGTTCTTCATGGGATAAGTTCATCATAGACCTGTCCCGAATTCGAAACCTAGTGGGAACAACACTCACTGGGAGGTAGGTGCATTCCAGCTGACGAGTCCTAGATTCCACTCCATTGCCAATCTCCATCATTATTTGACTTTGATTTGTTTCTTCTACACCATGTTAGTTCACCGCATGCTGCGAGTAATAGCTTCGATAACTTCTAAATTTGGGTTAGTTTCTCAGATTAGAATGACTAAAAATGATCTGTTGTTTTTAAAAGTAATGGGCATTTCAGCAACTCCTTATCTCAACATATCTCCATAACTTTCAACACAAATTATTTGCCTACTTACAAACGAAATTAAGTAGTCACACACTATACACAAGTATAAATATACTGCAGTAGGAAAGTGAACACACAAATCAACAATATTCGCAAATGAATTTATGGATAACGAAATCAACAAAAAATAATGAGTTAAAAAAAACACATCAAGGTCAAAAAGGTGATGAACAAGTAAACTTGTTCTTTGAATTATGAAGGATGCTTGGACAGAAAGCACTGAAAACGCAGAATACAATGAACTAGCAGTATCTACGGTTAATAGTAATGCTTTTAACATAAGTGATAAGGATGGGAGACGGTGAATAACTCTAAGCAATAATTACTATCACTAGTAACATTAATGAATGATAAAAAAAGATGGTGAATAAAAAAAGGAAAATAATTTCAAACAAACAAATCTCGAATAAATGATTATAACAATCATAGAAAGAACAACAGAATCTTTTTGCCTACCTCTCATTTTTGTCACCAACGAGAATCGTTCATTTGAACAATAAATAATAGTAACTGTGAAAACTACTATGGTCATCAATACTATAGCATAGAAGAGAGAAAGAATAGCACAATCCGTTCGTAACATCACTACTACTACTACTACTCATAAGTAGAGTATTTCTATAAAAATCGATTAAAAGTTTATGAAGGAAGAGATTTGAGAATAATTAGATGCTGAATATGACAGAACAGTCTGTCGAACTGACTATACACACACAAACACACGTATGCATACATAATAATTGTAGAGTTAAAGGCTGTAATAAACAAGGATAGTGCATACAGATGAGATACAGCCGGATCATGGGTACTACTACATGATGAGAAACAGACAGACAGATAGACAGATGCACGTACACATACATACACACACACACACAAGCAAACAACCATGTTTGTGTATATTTACATATTAAAAAAGTTGGATAATTAAGCATATACATTCACAAAAGATACTGAATGAACTAACCAACATTTAACTTTAAACGAATACAAAACATTCAAAAGATGCGGGCGCGCGTTTACACATTAAAAAAAGAACAAAAATGAGAAGGAAATATGATAAAACAAAATTGAATGTTAAATAGACGATGAAATGAATAAGTTAAAGTGAATGTTACAAGAAATTAACGTTTTTGTTTCCGTCGATGACGGCGTTTATTTGATGATAAAGATTTATGATAATTAGTAGATTGTGATAATTGTTTATTATTATTATTAATTGAAATATCATTTGTTAATTGATTAGAATTAGACTCTACTGTAACAATAGATGAAGTAATATCTGTATACTTTACTACATCATTATTAGTTTTACTTTTTTGTATAGTAGAATCTTGATTTTCTATTTCTGGTAAAGTGGTCAAATTAAGCATTGTTGAAGTATCATGATTTAAATTGAATTGTTCATTCATTGATTTCTTTGTATAATTTGTATAAAATTCCATAGATGATGATGATAATAATAATGGTAGATTACCAATTGATCCATAATGATTTTCAATTTCAGATGAATTCATTCGATTAATAAAAGACATACGTAAACTGGACCAATCATAATCATCTTTCTCATGAAAAGATAAAGTATTTCGAGTATTTCTACAGAAGTAATTATTAACGGTATTCGAATGAACAGAATCCTTAATATCATCCCCATTAACAATTTTATTATTGTTATTAGTAGTAGTAGTAGGAGGAGGAGGATGAGGCAGAATAGTGTTATTATGATTCAATGGATCAATTAAACCGACAGCATAACCAATAGTTTTTAAATTTCCATTCCATGTTAGTATAAATTGACGACCAAGTTCTATCCATTCAGGATGACGTGTAAAACGTACATATATATGAGTAGTTTCTGTTAGATGATTCTAAATGGAGTTTTGTTAACAAAGAAAGAATGAGAGAAAATAACGATAAATAGGTCAATTGAATTGATTTTAGGTTGGAATTCTTTATGAAATGGAGCACTGGACGGCTCTTTCATCCCACTAGTATGGGACTCTTTAGCAATGCGCACCTATAATCCTGCCAAGGGTCGAACCCGATACCTTCAGGTTCCGTGGCCACTGGGTCAGAATCAAGTGGTCCATATTTCCAACTTCTATTACAGTTCACGACATAGCGCAACCGCCACCCAACGTCATCATCGAGTATTCGTCCACCAAATTCAATTGAACTAGTGCTCATTGGTGACTAGCTTTAAGAGGTGATTCATAAAGTTCCAATGCGTAGTCGTGACCGATGGGGCAAACCTGGTGGCCGTGAGGACAAATTCTCAATGATGAAATTGGGTGGCGGTCGTACTATGTCGTGAACCAGCAGAAGTAGAAAATATGGACCCATTGACTAGCTCAACGATAACGTGCTGGCCACGGAACCTGAAAGTCGCAGGTCATGGGTGTGCACTGTTGAGGAGTCCCATACTAGTGGGAAGAAACAGCTTTTCAGTGCCCCTAGGTTTCCAATGTCCCTTCGACTGATGTCAGTTCATGATATACACCAACTTGATAAATTGGTCAATCAAATGCTTAATATACGAAAAAGATAATAATCCTAATAGATATTTTAGTCATGTGTACTCTATTTTCCTGAAGAACTAATCTGTTGAAGATGTAGACTGCTTAGAAAAAAAATGTTCTTGTCTTCAATCATGCTTTTTTTTATCTCTTCTTATGGTCGTCGGTATTCACCTATTATTCTATCTGTAAATGAATTGTGAAGTCAGTTCACAAGTTTGAAGTTCTTTGAGGTTTATTATCGAATGTTTCTTCCCAAGGTTAAGCTATTTCACCATTTTAAAGTAAATGCTTATGAAGTCTTTTAGTTTGACAATGAAACATCTATGCCCACAAATATTAAAGCTCAGGAGAACAGTAAATAGTCATCATTCCTTTATCCTGAGATAAAAATCTTCTCTACCTATCGGTGTAAATTATGTCCTAGGTAGATTAGATTTCCATCAGGCAGTATGTTTGAAAGAGAGATTGCTGAATTACTTCAATGACTTCTTCACTCTTAATATCTCTCAAGATTTGAATCATTTGATCGATATGTGCTTATTTTTGCTGTCTCTCTTTTTACATCGTTTTTACTGATTGATTCTGATTACAGGTGTCTCTGTAATATTGTTCACCTTTTGTAGAATCATTGTGTGAACAATGTTGAAGTTAAACAAAGGATACTAGACAAGAAAGGCCAGTCTATTATACTCTAATATCTCCGTAGCTCAGTGAACCAGAGGGGACTGAGAGAGGTCAGTCATAACAGTATTCGATCGAGGTGTCCATTGAGTCTCAATATCATTATACCCACGTACCATAATTCCATTCCATCACAACAGGTAACCTGATGGATTATTTCAGTAGTTGGATTCGGGTGGCCACCTTTAAAGTTATTCGAAATAGTTAGAGGTTACTACCAGTTTAAAGGCAGAAACGATAGAGTTTTCAGTTGTAATGTCAGTTATCACTACATTACTTCCAGATATTTTTTTAGAATTTCCAGTCTTTTGCACACACATACAATCATACAAGCATAGTAATATTTACATTCTAACAAAAAAGCATGTGGTTATAGGAACAACAGATGATTCGTGAAAAGGAATTTATTATAATTATTATAATGGCATGTGTAATATACACATTGTTCCATTATTTATCATATGATCGATATTCACCATAACTATCAGCTGTTTTCTTATATATATAGAGGAAGTAATAGACTTTACCACTTTTCACTGCTAATATCTTGTGTATGAACGAATTATTTATAAAACCTTGTATGTTGTTTCCTTTTTTGTTGCAAAGAAACTGTCTGTTAGATACTGTTTATGTGAAATAAAATTCAGGAGACTAAGTTCATCTTTTTCGATATTAAAAACAACAATGCTTATGTTGTTTGTTAGTATTGATCGACTGGCTCAAAAAAAAGAAGAAGCAAGTACAGGAAGCAGAATTCTCCCTTGAAAGGGAACTGGATCTGATCAATCTAACCAATACCTCAACTTTCAAGCAATCAACAAGGGAATTGAATTCGCTTCCATCCATTCTAATATGCGTCAACTAGATAATATCATAAGTCTCCTATACATTAGATATGACTCATAGATCCGTATGTATATAAACACGCATGCTTCAGAATTATCAGTGCAGTCACTTTCGTAGATATAATAGATTCCAACTCCTTCTTAAGAAACTTCATATTAAGCTAGTAGGGTATAAATTAAATTCTCATGCATAAAATGCAACTGAAAACCTAATTAGACGAGATTGTAATGGTAAATAAAAATGCACGAAGTGTCGACTAGTCCGATACTTCATGAAACACATCGATTGTTTGAAGGTTATTATTATTATTCCCTTGTGTTCCTAGTGGAACATACCACTTCAGTAGCACATCTCCATTCCACTCTCTTCTCTGCAATCTTTTCAACCTGGTACCACGACTGCCCACAACCTTTCATTTCTTCTTCACATGATCTCCTCCATGCCACCCTCGCCTCGGACACCCAACTCGTCGTTTCCCCTTTCGGTTCCACTCAACGGACTGGTCTGGCCTGACGCGTGACGTCCTCAATCGGCCTTCTCAGTGTATGCCCAGTCCAATCCATCTCCATTTTCTTCTTATGCATATTTGTTGGGTGATATGTTGTTGGTTGGTTGGTTGGTTGCCAGCCACAGTGAGTTCCTTGTTCCTTATTCTCATTATTCTGGCCATCTGATCTGATCTTCAGTATCGAGTCAGCGTAGGCAGTTGTTGATGAATGTTTGTAGCTTTCTGGAAGTGGTTTTCGTGACGCGCCAAGTTTATGAACCATATAGGAGCACTGACTTGACATTGGTGTTGAAAATCCGGATATTGTTCACGCTTTATGCTGAGTGCAGTAGATCTCCACGCTGATTTTAGATTATTGAAAGCCTGTCTTGCTTTTCCGATCCTGGTTAACGATACTTTATTTACGTGACGAAACTTTAGAAATTGAAAAGCAGTGGAATGTGTCAACCACTTGAGGAGTTGCATCAGCACGAACGGGCTGCATGCTGACGAAGTTATCACCTTGGATACAGAAGGCCTGTTTAGCATCTGCCAACATGTGTCACCTGTGACGCTTGACTGGCGAGATGTCCGACTACCTCTCTATCAAAGGACGAGTATACTGCGCTGTTGTCTGGCTGTGAGACATGGCAGTTAAAAGTCGAAGATATGAAGCGATTGCTGGGTTTTGATCACAGGTGTCTTGGCAGCATTCCTCCCCTTTAATAGAATAATTATGTGAGTAATGTTGAGGTCAGGTGAAGGGTACTGGGCAAGACTCAGGGTGTGAACCTTAGTCGACTGCACATGTCGAGCCAGTATCCACCTGGAGGTGCCCCATGCTACGGGAAGTTGGATTAGGTTGGTATAAGGCCCAGGATGGTCAAATCAAGACATAACACTAGTTCATGAAATCCCTAACTGTTTATGTAAGCCGTATGCGGAAGTGCAGACAAAACCGGTGATTGTGAGGACTTTTGTTGAAATGGATGGAAATGCATAGCCAGAACATAGCAACTTCAAATCCCATGATAAACAGACAAGATCACACACAAGTGCATCCATTCACAAGTTGTCACACTTCACAGTAGTATGCAAAGAATAACTGGATAGAAAAAGATTAATATCAGAGCTGGCAAAGGTGAATGGCTAGAGACGGAATTTGAAGCTGAAAGTCAATAAAAATGATCAACACTTCGAAGACGTCGTAAATAGTACTGAATGACTTGTAGTCATCACAGCGATGCTAAGCAAGAAAAGATTTTAACTACAGAAAGACTATCACAACGATAAAGAAAGTAATAATTTTGCAAACTTCAGGATCAAAATTTGACATCATACGGCAGTCAACTCTGTACCTCAACTTTATCGATTTTGAAAAGGCCTTCGACAGAGTCAACCGAGAAGTAATTTGGAAACTGCTTCAACACTACGGTTTCATTGCCATAAACTTCTATCAACATCCTTCAACAGCTAGATGCTATGCAATATGAGGATACTACATGCTAAGTGATTCACAATGGAAAGCTCAGTGATGCCTTTGAAGTGAAGGCAGAAGTAAGAGAAGGCTGTCTAATATCACCCATGATCTTCCTGATTGTGCTCGACTGGGTCATACAACAAAATGTGAGGAGTGAGAAGAGGGGCATATGCTGGCTGGACCGATGAGAAGACCCTGGAAAATTTGCATTTCGCAGGTGATGATTTATGTCAAATGTCTTGTGGCACAAACTCGAAGATCTACAAGCAAGAACCAACAAGTTAACAGAAGAGGCGGGGCAGAGAAGGAAGACAGAACTTCCTTTAGGTGGACGTAGAGAACACAGAGGTGATGAAGATACCCAAACAACAACAACAAGCACCACCAATGGGAGAAGCCTGAAGGAAGTAGTCTCTTTCACCTACCTGCCTAGGCAGCATCATCTAAACTACAGGTGGTGGCACAGACGGTCATGTCAAAGTCAGGATCGGAAAGACAGCAAGACAGGCCTTCGTTAACCTGAAACCAGTGTAGAGATCTACTGCACTTAGCATAAACCGTGAACAATATCCGGATTTTCAACATCAACGTCAATCATTGCTTCCAGGTGATGGTTGAGAGACTTGGCGAGTCATGTAAAGCATTTCCAACAAACTATAGACATTCATCAACAGCTGCCTACACCCGCTCACTCGATACTGAAGATCAGATGGATAGAATAATAGGAATGAGCAACAAGGAACTCACTATGGCCGGCAACCAAACAACCAAGAACCTATCGTTCAACAAATATGCAGAAGAAGAAAGTGGAGATGGATTGGGCATACACTGAGAAGGTCGATTGGGGACATCTAGCTCCAGGCCGTCTAGCGGAATGTTGTTGTGATGCCCCAGTTTTGTATAAAACATTATTATTGATTTGAACATTTTAACGTGTCATTCCCATACCATTTTTACGGTATGACTAGTATTCTACTTTCTGCCCCCACTGTAATGTAAATCGCTAATTGGTTAATCTTTACTCTTACTATGCAAATGCCTCAAATTGAGGACAAGGTCATTTTTCATGTGTATACTTATTCACGTGTTTTGGATTGGATTATTATTATATTTTCAGAGTAATACACTTTCCCATCTACCAGCTTCGGTCTTCTCTCTATTCGTCCCGGGGTCGCAGTCAGTGGCTCTGGCGTACTAAGTTAGCTGTCAGCTAAGCGTGCTTATTATATTCGTTCCGGAATATATATCTGTAACCATTAGCGTTAGAAACCATGACAAATACAAAGGGGAAACGACGAGTTGGGTGTCCGAGGCGAGGGTGGCATGGAGGAGATCATGTGAAGAAGAAATGAAAGGTTGTGGGCAGTCGTGGTGCCAGGTTGAAAAGATTGCGGAGAAGAGAGTGGAATGGAGATGTGCTACTGAAGTGGTATGTTCCATTAGGAACCCAAGGGAAAAACAATAATAATAATAATGATTATTATTATCATGTATAGATGTCAGTGTGGTCTGATTCGTCACCTTTTTACTATCGATAACTTGTAAGTGTTTTATTCTGTGGAGAAGCGATTTCCACGGAGTTATGAAGCGTTGGAAATTTATTTTTCTAGTTCATTATTGGGATTTTGCAAACATATAATACATATATAATAAATAAAGGGAATAAAAATCTTATTACTTACATGTTCTTTGTCATTTTGTTTTTGTCGTCTCTGATGATGATGATGATGCTCTTCAATACTGCTATCAAGAATAACTCCAGTTTGACATATACATCCAGCATAGATAGTTACACGTTGACCAACTGGTGGAATTGGTGTTAATATAATAGGCGGTGTGCCTAATTTAAATGAAACAATTGGCAAACGATGTATTAATTGTAATTTCACTGTCCATACTACTGTAAAATTAATTTGATGCTTTGATTTCAAGTGTTGATTCCAAATGAATGATTCACCAATAGATGGAGAAGAAGATTGATTAGGTGATGATGATGATGATGACGATGGTGAGTCTATTGTTGATGATGACAATACATAAGTAGATAAATGTGAATTCATTAACATTGGATAAGTGAGAAGAATCATTCCACGACGTAATTTAATCGGTGAAGAAAATTGATACATATCTGAACGATTAGTAGTTTTCTCCTTTTCCTCGTTATTATTATGGTTATGATTATCATCATGAACACCATGATTACTAATCTTCTTATGATTATAATTATTATATGGAATATTTTCTTCATTTCCTGTATCATTATCATTACTAAATAATAAGAATTGAGATCTTTTTTGATCTAATGAATGATAAGATGAAGAAATATTTTGTAAAATATTGATACGTTCTTGATGAGTTAATGAATTCCATGATTTCGGTAGAAAATTCACTTCCATTGATGCTGATTGACCAGCATAAACTATATCATGAACTTGACGATTATGCATTAAACTGACTATTTGAACTGGACAAAAATCACCAAACTATCAATACGATGAGAATGATAGAAACAAACAAAAATAACCTATCAGTTGTATACTACTTAAATAAGAATAATAAACAATAGTATTATAGTATAGTATAAGAGATGAATAGGTATTGACCGACTTTTATTGATTATACGAAGCAAGCGAACCTATCAACACATCAAAAAATAATATCAGAATTAGTTGGGAACGTTTTGATAGGTTAAAGAAAATGCTCGACTTCATTTTACAGTTGATCAAGAGAGAAAACGAATTTACGTGGCCAACCTATTCAACATAATGTAGAGTAACTTTAAACGCCACCTTAGCAACTGCTACGACGATAATGTACGAGAAAAACTTCGCCATTGTGATAGAATATAATTTCACACGGCTGACGAGTCCCAAATGGGGCGAAACACACGTTTCGGATTCCCCCACTGATACAGTATAATTTACTGAGTGCAGTTTAGAGCAGAATTTATTGTAACGCATTTGAAAGCTTACTCATTCACCTTCCAGTTTCCATTTCTAGACTGCCTCACCTCTTCGTTGTCGAGCTCTATCATTCGTCAGTTATCTTTTATTATTAAATGTGAGTACATCCTGTAAACTTACTAAGTCGTCAGCTCACCTTTTTCTCTTCCTCATCAAACTCACACTGTTCTACGCGCCCCCTGCAACAACACACCTATCTACAGGCTAGACGAAAACGTATCAACAGCTGGTTGTTATTTTTTCATTTATTTTAATGGTAGTGAAATTTTCCAGAGATCTCCGATATACAGTGAGTCGTTCCTCTTATTACATGGTATTAGGTGCTGATTGGATTTTACACTTGTTACTCTATCCCACCCTATAGTGTGATTATGAGTCACTGCATGCAGAGGGATAGCCAAGTTTTTCACCATTGTATATCTCGCTAAATTCTTCATCCATTAGTTCACAAGAGACATGTTTATAGACACTTGGGAACAGATATTACTGAAAACATTCTAACCCACCCAAAAGTATGGTGGCGATATATAATGTAGATGAAGCATTTACTGTGCTGAAGTAATCACAACACATCCAGAGTTTTTCGTACACATTAACTGCATAATTGTAGATGGAATCCAATTCACTTGTGGATTAGAACATAAAGAAGGAGAATTACCAACATGTTGGATAGCAAAATCAAGAGGATAGAAGATGGAAGCTTAGATACCAGTGTTAACAGGAAACCAACACATTAGAATACATACTTGAATTTCATATTATCTCACCCTATCTTTGTCAAAGTAAGCTTGATACAATGATGGAGTTGCGATAGGAGTTTGACTAGTAAGTCAGAAAACCTGGATGAGGAACTGGAACCCAATAATGAGACACTACTGTTACATAACAACCCTCCGAAACTTATGAAAACGTTTATAAGGGCTGATAACAGAAGGAGTGGTAATATTAGTGGTGATTGTAATATGTCTAAGCGGGAATTCAAATCCTCTGTGTAGTGCTGCCGTATAAAGAAGACGCATCGGAAATTTTTACACTGCTGGGATTAGGGTAGCATTTGAGCCCACAAACACGCATAGAGAAAAACGTTGTAGGCTAAAACATCCAATAAAGCGAATCAAGAAGAATAACCTAATCGATCCGCTAGTATGGGACTTCTCAGAAGTGCGCACCCACCTCTCCACCCCACCAGTGATCGAACCCAGGACCTTCAGATTCCGTCGTCACTACATTACAACTCACCCAGTCACTCGGTCGGAATCCAGTGGTCAACATTTCCTACTTCTGTCACTTCACGATACAGCTCAACCTACATCCAATGTCATCGTTGAGTAGACTAACTGTCTTCATGTTCGACTTGTTTGACTCCACTGGTCGTGAGACTTCCTTCTCTTTCGAACTTTGGGAATCATCTCCTGAAACTAGTCACCAATGAGCGTTAGAGCCCTGATGGGGTCATACGAGCATACTGCCAAGGGGTCCCATACTAGTGGGATGAAACAGTTGTTGTCCACTGCTTCTAGGTTTCCAATGTTTCAGCGACTGATGTCAGTCCATGATGAATTCCAAAGTAAAATGTAAGTATTTAGCAATAATAATAATCCGTTATGCTTAAAAGTAAAAATCTTTTTGAAGAAAAACAAAACAAACAAACAAATAGATTTACATGATCTGGACCAAGCCATAATATTTGGTTATTTAACAATTGACCAAGTTGTACGCGTCCAACAAGAACAGGATTTGATACACCCGGAATTTGTGTAAACACTTGATTAATCCAAAATAAAGTTCCATTAAAATCTCTATACGTTTTAACAATTTTCATTTGTTCTCTTATCTTATTCAATATTAAAGTGATTTGATTTTGATTTGAAAAATCTGTTAAATTGATAGTTTGTTGTAATTTTGTTTGTTGATGATATTTTACAGTAGACTTTTGATTAAAATTTACACTTGATAATTCAGATTGTAATGATAATTCATTAATTGGATGATTTAAACAACTAAGTCGACTTAAAAATTGGATTAAATTATCAATACCTTGACCTGTTACAGATGATACAGGAAAAAATGGCGGCATACACGTATTACCATGTGAATCTCTGTAACATAAGATGGAGAAATAAAAAGAGATGAAAAAAAAAATTAATTTTTGGTTAGGTAGAGTAATTATTAAGTGATAAAGATATAAGTAGAAAAACATAAAATATACAATGGAATATAAGTGGAATGAAAAGTTTGATGTCGAAACTAAACAAAGATGAATCTAATTTTGAAGTTTGTGGAGATTTATTGATTGATCAGTTGGTTTCAGGTTCGTATTCATTATGGACTGATATCAGTTGGAGGAATATTTAAAGCTTAGGAGCAGCGGACAACAGCTGTTTCGTCCTAGTATGGGACTCCTCAGCCATGTGCACACCACCAGGGATCTAACTCACGACCATCAGGTTTCACAGCAGAAGCGGTAATCATTGAGTTCATAGTAGGTGATGATTGAAAGTGAGATGAAAATCTGGACCGCCACTGGATTCGAACCATCGACCATGGGGTTACCTGCCCGGTGCTCTACCAACTGAGCTACGAGGTCCGACTGCTCACCAGAATTTTATTTCAATTTAATCACCGAAGGTTTCGCCTAACTACCATGTACATTCCTGACGCCTTACTACCGCTTGATCATATTCATACACTGGTTGTCTAGTTCCGACTTCTCATCGCGATCCCAGTCTAACTAAAACAGACAGGGGGAGCATCATATTGATTATCATTTGACTATCTGAGATAGCCCTGCGTCGTTTGGCAGACTAGCACTGATACTGTCTGATGGTTGCAGGTGAGATAAGTGAAGTGAAATAAAAATCTGGTCAGCAGTCGGACCTCCTAGCTCAGTTTAGTAGAGCACCGAGCCGGTAACCCCGTGGTAGGTGGATCGAATCCAGCCGCGGTCCGAATTTCCATCTCACCTTCAGTTATCACCCAGTATAAACACCAGTCTGCCAAACCATGCACGGCTATCTCAGATAGTCAAGTGATAATCATTGATTTACTGGGTGAGCATACAGTTCTTACTTCTATCAATTCGTGAAATAGTGTGACTACCCATCAAGATCTTAAGTTGGCGTGTGTTTTATTTGTGAATGGTTGACCCCAGTCCATGATGAATGTTACCTTAAAAATAAAATCTCTACTAACCTCAAAATACATTACTTACTCCATAGTGCTCATTAATGAAGTCATGAAAATTTGTGTACTATATAGTCAGATATTCCTCTCAGGAACCATCATGTGCTCATGATATAAATTTCACACAAGTCATAGATCAAAACATATCGGAATAAGCATTGTTCATGATGAACCATTCAGATGAATTCCATAGATGAAACTAATTAGTCAATAATTCGACTAGAATATAGATTAAAACTGATCAAATTGAATCAGTGTTACTCTATAGGGTTAGGGGGGGAGGGGCTGGGTCATTGGTATAAAGAGTTCACTTTTAATGAGAGGGTCGTCACACGTTTGAACACCACTCCACCTAGAGAGGTTTGAGCAGGTAGGTAGTGTCACGAACGATCACACTCACACAACAGGGGTGTAGGTCATTGTCTACTGTACGAATGTGCTGATTGGTTGCTGATTGCATTTCGATTCGATTTTCCATTGTAGCATCGGTATATAACTATGATAAACGATGTGTTTTCGCTCCTTCAGATTAACTTGCAACTCGTATGGATTGGTTCCTAAACTAGGTAATTCTTCAAGTGATTTTAGGTTGGAATTCATCATGGACTGACATCAGTCGCTGAATCATTGGAAACCTGGAAGAAGTGGACAACAACTGTTTCATCCTACTAGTATGGGACCCCTTGGCAGTATGCTCGTATGACCCCCACCAGGGCTCTAACGCTCATTGGTGACTAGTTTCAGGAGATGATTCCCAAAGTTCGAAAGAGAAGGAAGTCTCACGACCAGTGGAGTCAAACAAGTCGAACATGAAGACAGTTAGTCTACTCAACGATGACATTGGATGTAGGTCGAGCTGTATCGTGAAGTGACAGAAGTAGGAAATGTTGACCACTGGATTCCGACCGAGTGACTGGGTGAGTTGTAATGTAGTGACGACGGAATCTGAAGGTCCTGGGTTCGATCACTGGTGGGGTGGAGAGGTGGGTGCGCACTTCTGAGAAGTCCCATACTAGTAGGACGAAACGGCTATCCATTGCTGCCAGGTTTCGAATGTTTCAGCGACTGATGTCAGTCCATGATGAATTCTACCTTAAAATCAATTAATAAATCTTCACAAACCTCTAGATGGAACTCTTCAAGTAGTTTATAGTTTCAGGTACACAACTTTCAAGTAGTGATTAACCACTTCTAAACACAGCCCATCCAACGAACTCTGAGCAACTAGGTAGGTATCACTAACCATTATTCCATAAGTGCAGGTCACTGCCTAGTGCATGAGTTCACAAGCAGTTGTTGAGTTGCACTGCATCAATGTATAGGTGACTGCTTGATAAACGCGAGTAAACAATCCTCTTCAATAAAAGAACTCGTGAAATAAAGTCATGAGAAAGAACAGAGTAGAAACCTTTAAACTAGTTCTGATATGATTACCTATGCCAGTACGAAAATAATGCTTCAAGAATATCGCAAAATTATGTCATCTTTGACTAAGGAGAGTGGATCGACAAGTCCACTATGAGGACACGAATGATTCCATCAGTATTAATTAACATATTCTACTTCCCTGACACGACCCATAGAACTACTGAAAATTAGAGAGCACAGGAGAGTTATTTCCTGCTAGTTAGGGACTCTTCTGGAGTACTGAATAAAGATACTATTCACACTGAAACACACAAGTACCTGGTGAGTAATTTATTATTCACCCAGTAGGTCGCTAAGTGGCTGTCAATCAATATGGGATCTTTCGAATCTCTTTTAAGTACATAATCATATGCATACACATTCCAAACTTACAGTCCTGAGACCGACTACTCACAGAGTCGTTGGTGAACTCTGCTGAAGGGTCGCAAACTAGGATCAAATCACTGCCCAGTCCCCTCAGGACCATAATGGGCTTTTTAATTAATGTGTATCCATGATCAACAGTGGTCTGAAACCTCTC